GAATTGCTCCTTAGGGTTTCCCTGACTATCATCTTAACAGAAGCCAATCACCAGGCATTTTCTTCCATGGTACTTCTGAGTGGATTAGAACTGCCAACCTTTAGGTTTGCAGTCTAGAGAAAACCTTTTGTGCTACCTAGGGACCTCAGATGTATATATAGAGAGATAGAAACTTAAATATTAAATAAAGGTATTTCATACTATGGGTCATAGTCATAATATTTGGAAAGGCATATGTATATCAGGGTAATATTAAAAAAAAGAGAGAGAGAGATAGTCTTCCACTATTTTCAGACATTCTCATATTCTCAGAATGCTGGGGTAGACATTAAGCATCTGCTCGGCAACTAGGTTATGGCAGCAATTACAACCTGCTGTCTCTAGTTGATGCAAAGAATAACCTGATCTTGCAATGCCCTACCTTTTTTTTTCTGATTTTCCAACCTCACCAGCTTCTTTATTATTTTTAATAAAGGGCATGTGTTCACTTAAAAAAAAAAAAAAAAAGATTCTAATTTTGTTTGAAATGATTTATTTATTTTTTTAGAATTTCACAACACCCTTTGGAATATTTAGAGATACCTTAGGGAGTTGCAAAGAGAGGATTAGAAGCAACTGTCATAATTCAAGATTCTACTTTGCCAGTACGTAATCATTTTTCTTGACCTTACTTGTGTTATTTCCCCAAGATGTTCACATTCTTTTTGTTTTCTCTAGCTCCTGTGGCATGTACTTCATTTCTCTTATAGAGGTAGTGAAATGTTCTTCTAGTACTCTTTTTCCTTTCTGTATTCCTGGAATTTTTCAGGGTGACATAACTGTCATTTTTCTTATACATGTTGTACTATGTAAACTGTGCCATATTGTATTATTTTTCCAACTCTACATTAAATTTTGAAAGGAAGACTGAGCAATCTACTTTCTAGAGATACAGCCTCGGAAACCCAAGGGGGAGGGGTCGCTATGAGTCGGATTTGACTCCACACAGCAGTGAGGTTTTTTTTTTTTTTTCCACTTTAAATTACCCACCCAGAAGTTTCCATACTTACTAATGAAAGGTAATTATCATTACACAGTATTCTAAACTATTGAACCAGATTTTCTCAGAGTGAAGATAAATTTATCAAAGATTAAAAATTAATAGAGAACACACAGGGATATACCCTAAAATATTGGGAAAAGTGTCCAAGAGTGAAAAGTTTTGTTGGATACAAATTCCAACATTCATTTAAGAAATACTTAATAAATGTATTCATACTGAAGGTGCAAAAAATAGTTTAATCTTTTTGTTTAACACTGAAAGAATCAGTGGGGTTATGACTGGGTAAGCAAAGGATTGTAGAGAAGGCAAACCAAGGATAGAGGGAGTCCATACTGGGTGAATAGTGTGAGCAAAGGGCAGGCCTCGCACGCGTTGCAGAATGTGAACAGATTGTTCTGGCCAGAACTAAATGAACCATGTTAAGAAGAAATAATAACTGGCAAGATAATGGGGGGATTTGAGCTCCTGTGTCTAAATTAAGAACTAAAATGATTGTCTAAAAATATTAAGGTTGTGATGTTATTTTGAATTAAGATTTGTGTGTGTTTCTGTTTTTCAGGACTTTTTAGAAGTTTAGCTCAAAAGAGTAGCATCAATTGGAATTTTGGAGACAGTAGAGCCTCTCCTTCATTTGAAAACTGATATGATGCTGATGTATTTGTTGACATAAATTGCAAAAGGGAGAAAGTGAATTCAGGAAAAGTTTTACGCAGAAGTGTGATCACTTCCACATTGGTTGGATAGTAACTCTGTTTATGATCTTCCTTTTAATCAATTGGTATAGCCATTCTTTCCACTTTCCCAGGGGAGGAATAATGAGGTAAACATGCCAGACTCCATGAGCAAAAGGTCTCATGTGACGATGATGTTGTAACTCTTACCTCTTATTAAACATGAGGACAGCCTAAGTGGTTTTTACCAGATTCCTTAATCTGTTCTTCCCAACAAGGTGTCAGCAACATGCTGACTGTATTTGGATTCATTGTGAGGACTTGCAACCTGTTAAGGTAGCAGAATATGTGCTTGATTTATTTTTGCTCTATTCTATTAAACAGGATGGAGTAAATCTAGGACTAATTTAGGCTCATTGCTAAGAAGGGAAAATTTGGCTTGGATGAAATCTGTATTTTATCTGAAGTATAAATTATATCATCAATATCTGGTGAGGTTAGGACAAAACATTAGCAGTTAGCATTATGATCTGGAGCATGGCTTCTCATTATTCTGTGGGTCAGTGATGAAACTCTCAGTGGAAAAGAGAGCAGGAAGCCCAGTTTAGTGAGAATCTGAAATCCAGTTTTGACACTGCAATTCACTTGCAGCTGACGATGGTAGAATTAGCCTTAGTTTCCTCATTTTTGCTATGAGAGAATTAGATTAGATGAACCGTAAAGTACCTTTCTGACTTTGAATAAGATGCTGAATATTTCTGGGTTTCAGTTTTGCCACAGATGTAGGAAAACAATAGGTTTATTAAAATTTATTAAATTTCTTAAAATTTCATCAAAGTACTTTGCACATACATGGATATTGAAGCTCTACTGATGAGGTTAGGAGTGATTACCACAGCCTGGTATCCAAGGAAGGCCTGTTTTTATTTTTTTTTAAAAGCCTGATGGAACTCCTTTGTGTAGTTATGTCAAGGCTGGCCAGGTTGGTTTTAGCTGGAGTAGAATAAATTTAGTGTGATGACCTTTGGGAGCCCATGCTGTACAGGCACGCTGATGGGTATTCAGACAGTGTAAGTCTTTTAATAATGAGAAATAGAATGTACATTATTAAATTAGATAATTCCATTTTCCCAATAGGTAAAATATTTTAAAAATATGAAACCTCTGGAGAATAAAGAAAATAATTCAGGTCTATACTGGTGGTGTAGTGCCTAAGGCCTTTGACTGATAACCAGAAGGCTGGAGGTTCAAACCCACCAGCCACTCCTCGGAAGGAAGATTGGGCGATCTACTTTTGTAGAGATACTGCCTTGGAAACCCAAGGAGGGGTCGCTGTGACTTGGATCCAGCTCAATGGCAGTGAGTTTTACAATATTTTGGAATTCAGATATTTCTGGATTTTAGAAAAATAGTAGAATGCCCAGACCATATGTTACATCACCTTATCAGCGGGGTCTTGACTAGAACTGCTTAGTTAAACACTTTGATATTTCTAGTATGAAACATGAATAGTCACACTGAGCAGAGTTTTCAAAAATGCTAAATGGCCTTATGTTGATTCAGAGGGAGTTTTGATGCCAAAGTAGTTTGACACAAACTTACCAAAAAACGTGGATTTTTGAATTGTGGCTCAAGGATTAATGACTAATTATTGAGCAATTATTTAAGGTGATGCCATTTGCACTTAATCTGTATAAACAACCTAGCAAGGTAGACATTGCTCTGAACCATTAACAAGTCAGGAAACTCATGCAAGCATGTTCCTGACCTGCCAGAAGTCACTCTGATAAGTAAGTGGTAGAGTTGGCATTTGGCTCCAAAGTCAAGAGACAACTCCCATAAGTTAGTTAAGACCTTTGATTAGTTGCCCCTATTGTTTCCAATGAGTTCTGGGGCATAGTGCCTAAAGCATTTGACTGCTAACCAGAAAGTTGGCGGTTCAAGCACAACAGCCTCTCCACAGAAGGAAGGAAGACTGGGGAACCTAGTTCTGTAAAGATTTACCACTTTGGAAACCCAAAGGGGATTGGTCTGAGTCAGAATAGATACGATGGCAGTGAGTTTGTTTGGTGTATTGTTTGCATGTTTTGTTGTTGTTGTTTTGTTTTTAAGAAAGAAAAGGCCTTGAAAGCTTAGCTTAAGTCTCTGTCTTCACTCTTCACAGTCATTCTTTAGAAAATTCATTTGTTTATCACTCATAAGCTAATGGCACCCAGACATACCTGTACTTCATTCCTAAGCTAAGTGTGGACTTAAATACTCACCTGATTGTCAGACATCTCAATGTAGATGTCTAACTGACCCAGAAAATTCCAAATGGAACTAAGTATCTTTTTCCTCAATCTTTCTCTTCTTTCAGCATTTCCTATTCTACTATCTTCTTCTTCCCTCCCTTTCCAACTCTGTCTATTAGAAGTACTGTGGGGGATGTTGAAGAGTAGCATAGAGGAGAAAGGGATTTTCAAAGTGCAATCATTCAGTTTTACCAATAAGACACTTCAGATTCTTTTACTACACCTACAAAGTGTATAATATGAAAACCGAAACAAACAGAAAAGCAAACCCATTGCCACTGAGTCAATCCTGACTCATAGCAGCCTTGTAGGCAGAACAGAACTGCCCCATATGTTTTCCAAGGCTGTAATCTTTAAGAAAGCAGACTGCCACATCTTTCTCCCTGGCTAAGGAGCTTTTGGGTTCAAATTACTGACCTCTTTTAGTTAGAAAGAACTTTGGTGGTATAGTGCCTAAGGCATTTGACTGCTAAGCAGAAGTCTGGCAGTTCAAACCCACCAGCCACCCTTCAGAAGAAAGACTGGGCAATCTACTTCTGCCTCAGAAACCCAAGAAGGGTCGCTATGTGTCAGATCCGACTGCACGGCAGTGAGTTTTTGATTTGGTTTTACTTAGAAGCTTTGTTCTTAACCATAGTGCCACCAGGATTCCTTATATAAAATAAAGGTTCTAACAAATTGTGAATACCCCTAAACCCCACTTACCAGTCAATGAAAACTACCAAATACTGATTCTAAGATTTTACTTTGTATTTTAGCTACTATAGGGTTGCTATGAGTTATAATCTTCTCAATTAGGGGAGGGGGAGAGCCTGTGGGGTTCCAAGTCATTAAATCCATTTCCTTTGGTCTTAAAATTAGCTATATTTTGGCCATTTGTGTATGTGGTATATTTTGACATACAAAATATAACAACCAACCTTTGCTCCAAATGTGTCCTGGATGCTAAAAAGGTGAAGTAACAGCCACTTATTTATTCTTCCCCATCTTTAGGAAAAAGGCCAAGCCTGAAAGTCCACATCAACACCACAAGTGACTCCATCTTCTTGAAGTTCCTTCGTCCGAATCCAAATGTAAAGCTTGAAGGTTTTCTCCTGGGATATGGAAGCAATGTGTCGCCAAACCAGTACTTCCCCCTCCCAGCAGAAGGGAAATACACTGAGGCTGTAGTGGGTAAGATGTTTATGTTTCAGGCTCCAGAGCAAGGGGAAGTAGAACATGATGCACAAATCTTGAGGGCAAGCACCATTTCTTCTATATCCTCTGCTGAACCAAATGCCAGAACACACAAATCCTTGTCGTAATGATTGTAATCCATATAAAAATTCTCTACATTAAGAAAATATTTAGTGCATGTGGAAATAGTCATCTTCATTTTTGTTTCACTATCCATCACTGACCTTAAAAATGTATAGGGAAAAATTAGCTACAAAGCATGTAGTTAAATTTTTATTCATTTAGAGTAATTTCCCTCTCTGCTGTGTCTTTACTTTCTTCTTGTTGAAGACAACAACTACAGCTTTCTGAGTATCTCTTATGAGATGTTAATTTTAAAAAGAAAAAATGTGTTACATTTCTTTTAAAGTTAGAGCATTTCAGACAAAAAAAATGTTTTTCTATATATTATAAAATTTTTTATTTCATAAAAAATATATCTTAATTTCATTATAATATAATTTGAAGGTGTAGATAACACCCTCAATCTTTCCCCCTCAAAAAAATTATTTGCAAATAAAATATTTTTAAAATAATAACAGTTTTAACCCTTTCATGACTGTAACACATATAATATCCACCTACATTTTCCACCTCTAGAGTTCAGTGAGAAGTTTTATCCCACTATTAGCACGTGCTGCTCCCATCAGAGGGCCTGTATAACTGTGTGAATCTCAAGAATCAGGCCTCATCCCACCAACCCTAGCACCAGATACCCCTTGGGACATATGTGTCCCACTAATTGTGTCAAAATCCACATTAAATAAAAATAATTTAAAAATTCCATTTAATTCAAAATGCCTTCCATTACTGAAAATACATATTTTCAACAAAAAATTCAAAGAAGAAAATAATTTGGTCTTAAAAGGGTTGAGTTATTCACTCTCTATTAGGATCCTCTGTTAGGAATGCTTTTGAAACCTTCCCAGAAAGTCTAAAATGAGATGAATATTTTGCTCCACCTCTGGGATTGTTGCTGAAGAGTGTTTCCATGAATTTCAGACGTTTAATTAATTCTGTAATTTGAACTACTTTAAATCCACTCTGGTATTTATGTATATATGCAGGGAATGTTGGAGATTAATCTATTTTGTCCATCCTCAGTAGAGAAGTCTTTGTTGTTTTTTAAAATCAGGAAAGAAGAGTAACAGTTTTAATTAAATGCCTAGACTAGATTTACATAATATAATGACTTTAAAGCAAACCTATTACAGTTTGTTACCAAGACACTGTTATACATTAGGCACTTTTTTGATAAATGTCACTCTAACTTTGATGGTATAAAACAAAAGAAGTTTGAAATTTTGTAAATGTTCTCCACTCTATTCGCTAGAAGCTGTATGCTTACCCTTATACAGATAGAAACAGATCTACTTTCTCCCTTTTCACTAAGCATTTAAAAATAGCATTTTATTTATTACAATATTTTTGGTTAAAACCCAAACCTACTGCCACTGAGTTGGTTCTGCCTCATAGCGACACTATAGGACAGAGTAGAACTGACCCATAGGGTTTCCAAGGCTGTAAATCTTTATGGAAGCAGACTGCCTTATCTTTCTCTCATGGAAAATCTGGTGGGTTCAAACTGCTAACCATTGGTTAGCAGCTGAATGCTTTACCCACTATATCACCAAAACTCCTTTCCCTAAAAAAGTTAAATCTAAATCTAATACAGCCTCCAGATCTAATTATCTTTTCACCAGAAATACAAGGGATAAATGGGCCAGTTCAACAAGACAGAAGGGAAGAACCAGTTAAATACAGAATGTGGATAATTTAGACCATAGTGATTCTGATTCATGGCAGCCCCATGTGTAGCAGATTAGAACTGTGCTCCATAGAATTTGCATGGCTGTTATCTTCTGAATGATCAGGCCTTTCTTCTGAGGTGCCTCTGGGTAGGTTTGAACCACCAACATTTCAGTTAGCAGCCAAGTGCTCAACTCTTTGTGTTACCTAGGCCATCTGTGGCCTGTTGTTGTTATGTGCCATGGAGTCAGACCCAACTCATAGCGACCCCTCCTTGGGTTTCTGAGGCAGTATCACCACGGAAGTAGATTGCCCCATCTTCCTTCCAAGGAGTTACTGGTGGGTTTGAACCGCCAGCCTTCTGGTTAGGAGTCGACAGGAAATATAACCCAATTTCTCTAACTAACCAATGACATTTTTAAAAAGGGAGGGAAGTGAGGATTGTTACAGAATTTAAGAGACTTAAAAGACATAATAATCAAATGCAACATGTAGACCTTGCTTGAATTCAAACAAACCAACTCTAAAAAGACATTTTTAAGATCATCAGAGAAATTTCAATATGGATTTATTGTTACAGAATTACTGTTAGAATGTGATAAAGGCATGGTGGTGTCAAAAAAAAAATCATATCTGTTAGAAATGGATTTATAGGTTTTAAAATGTAGTATCTAGTTATGCTCTTAAAATATTCAAGGAAAAACAGTATGTGAAAAAGTGTCATTCAAGCTGTTGATGGTTTGTTATTTTAAAATAGTACTATTCGATAATCACATGTAGAAGTTACTGAACTGGTGAATGCTATGGTGTGTATATTATCACCACAGTAAAAGTAAAAAAAAAAAAAAAAGTAGGCATCACTTCAATTTCCTCTTCTGCCTTCCTCTTCAACTTTAAGGACATTTGTGGTTATATTGGGCTGACCTGGATAATCCAGGAGACTCTATTTTAAGGTCAATTAATTAGCAGTCTTAATTATATCTGCAACCTTAATGTCCCTTTGTTATGTAACCTAACATAGTCACAGGTTCTGAGGAGTAATATGTGTGCATCTTTGTGGGACTGTTATTCCTCTTGCCACAACGGTATATTTGAAATTTATGAGTATTCTATTCCTCTGTGCCACCAATTTACTGTATAGTCATTGACAATCCTGCTTATCTATAAAATGGTAATACAGCCTATTTTTCAAAGATGTGCTGTGGGTGGTTAATGAACTCAGGATCATAAAGTAATGATTTAAAATCCCTTGAGTGCAAGGTAGGAGCTCAGGTGGCGTAGTGCCTAAAACACTTATCTGCTAACCAGAAACCTGGCAGTTCAAACCCACCAGTTGCTCCTCAGAAGGAAGACTGGGAAATCTACTTTCCTAGAGATATCGCCTTGGAAGCCCAAAGAAGGATTTCTATGAATCAGAACTGACTCAATGGCAGTGAGATTGCTTTATACCCACTAGCAACTCCTTGGAAGGAAGATTGGGCAATCTACTTCCATAGTGATACTGCCTCAGAAACCCAGGAGGGCTCCCTATGAGTTGGATCCGACTCGATGGCAGGGAGTTTGGTTTTTTAAAAAAGCTTTCATGCAGTAAGAATATTAAAACAACTCAACTCCCACTACATAACTGAAGGAATGTAATTCTTCCTTCCCAGGTAACAATGATTAAAGTATTTTCAGACATCAAGCAAACATCATACATATGAGTCTATAAAAAACATCATACATATATGAGTCTATAAAAAATTCAAATGTCAATAAAATTTCATTTTTCATATTATAGGACATTTGTGAAATCCTTAGCAGCTATTATAAATGCCTTAGTGAAGGCTGTAGTCTTTGATCTTCATCAGTAAGTGCTTTAAGTTTTCTTGCTTTCAGCAAGTTTTCTTGTGTCATCTGCCTATCTCAGGTTGTTAATGAGCCTTCCTCCAATCTTAATATTCCATCGTTCTTCATATAGTCCAGGTTCTTGGATTACGTGCTCAGCATACTTATTGAATAAATGTGGTGAAAGGATACAACCCTGATTCACACCTTTCCTGATTTTAAGCCATCCAATGTCCTCTTGTTGTTTGAACCACTGCCACTGGGTCTATATACAGATTCCTCATGAGCATAATGAAGAGTTCTGAAATTCCCATTCTTCATAATGTTACCCTTAATATATTATGATCCACACAGTCAATTGCCTTTGCATAGTCAATAAAACACAGGCAAACATCTTTCTGGTGTTCTTTTTTACAGCAAAAATCCACCTCACTCACCAAAGATATCTCTTGTTCCATGTCCACTTCTGAATCTGTCTTGAATTTCTGGCAGTTCCTTGCCTGTAAACTGCTGCACCTGTGTTTGAATTATCTTCAGCAACATTTTATTTGCATGGGATATTAATGATACCATTTGATAATTTCCACATTCTGTTTGGAACTTTGGTGACACGGTGGTTAAAGCATTCAGCTGCTAACTGAACTTGGTTGATTCAAACTCATCAGCCACTCCATGTGAGAAATATGTGGCAGTCTACTTCAGTAAAATTTCGTAGCCCTTTGGAGCAGTTGTACTCTGTCCTGTAGGGTCACTGTGAATCAGAATCAACTTAATGGCAGTCTGGTCTCACTTTGTCAGCCATGACTGCACTGGTTCAAACCGGTTTGAAGCTCTGTTTCATTCCCTTAACTTATCATCATTTTGTCTCTGGAAGCTCAGGACAAAATTTCATCGTCCAAACTCAGTTTCTTATTCTGAAGTTTCTCAATTTATTTTATTTCACAGGAGAAAATTAATGTTTTAGGAATTTTGAACTTTTGGTTTTGGTTGAATCATCTTTCTCTGAAACTTTTGGTTTTGGTTGAATCACCTTTCTTTCGAATGAGCACAAATACGGATCTCTTCCAGTTGGTTGGCCAGGTAGCTGTCTTCAGATTTTTTAGCATAGATGAGTGAGGGCTTCCAGTATTGCCTGCATTTGTTGAAACATCTTAATTGGTTCCATCAGTTCCTTAAGGATTGTTTTTTGCCAATGCCTTCAGTGAAGCTTGGATTTCTTCCTTCAATACCATTGATTCTTAATCAAATGCTACCTCTTGAAATGACTGAATGTTGACCAATTCTTTTGGTACAGTGACTCTGTATTCCTTCAATCTTTTTTTGATGCTTCCTACATCATTCAATATTTTGCCTACAGAATCTTTCAATATTACAACTCAAGG